CAAAACATGTTGGTATAAAAAAGTGTTAAGAAAATTAATTACAATATAACCATAAGATAGTAAGATATAATGTAAATTTCCTTTTTTAGAACATAATGTAAATTTATTTAATTCTCATCAATCATGTAATTAGCATAGGATATTTTAATATAAAAAAAGTGTAATGCAATATAAATTGTACTAGAGTTATTACAATAATGACTGAATGGGGGTGGGCTTTTTTATATTAAGGGCTCTTCCTCTATTTAATAGTTTTTATTTTATAGTTTAAAATAGGTTAAATTATAAAATAAGGTTCTGTTTTAATATTTTGTTATTATTATTATTTATCTTGAATTACATAACAAAAGATAAAATTTTCTCATCTTTTGCTTCATACTTCATCCTACTTCTATGCTATACAATTCAAATTCATGACTTGTTACTATTATTGAAAGAAAATTATCACTAAATTATTTAAGTCGTTGGCTTAATATTTTTAATTTTAAAATATACTAATTGCCATTTTTTTTTTTGGGCGATAAGACTCTTTTTTATTTTATTAACACCCTATTTTGATCCTTAAATTATAGTAGAAAGCCCCCCCTTTTTTTCCAGTAAACTCCAAATATCCCCTTTTTGTCTCTCAAGAAAGAGTTTATGCCCTCTTTTTGTCCCTTCATCAATTAACTGCTCAGGTCAAATGGTGCTCATTCGCTAAGTATTTTATTTTCTTTAATTTTTAACACTAACATGTAAATGCACCTGGGCGTCACGGCCCAACGGCCATAGGGCGGGCTTGTAAGGTGCATCTCCTCAGCTCGAGGGTTGAGATTCGATTTCCCCCACCCCCAAATTTGTAACTTTGTTCAAAAAAAAAAAAAAAACACTAACATGTAAACATGTAAACATGTAAATTAAAATTATCTATAGCATTTGCCGCCTCAATTGAGGTGGTAAAATGCACTTATTGTATTTTTGGTTTGTTAGAATTTAATATGTAAGTGTAACATTTATTTTGTAATATAAAATTACTTTTATTCTCCTAAATTTCCTATTGTTCAAAAAATAATTATCTATATGGAAAGATTTTTTTTTATGAAGGAAAAATATTTTAATTGCATAGCATTTCACATAAGTAGATCTATATATTA